TAAATACGATGGTTTAATTGGAATTGATTTATTAAAACAATTTAAAGCCTCTGTAAACGTAAGTTCAAAAACTATGACTACCCCGTATGTAAAAATTCCTATTGTGTATGAAAGGAAGACGATACAAGTTCCAATCAAAATATTCAATTTAAAAATTATCATTTAGTTATACCCCCTAGAACTCAACAAATAGTTAAAATACCCGTTAACATGAAAGAAGGTATCGGATTATTAGATTATAAAAAATATTCTCCCCTTGTCGAATCCCCTGTTGCTCTAGTTAACGTAAAAAATTATTTTGCCCTAACTACCATAATAAATTCAAACACTAAACCTGCAAAATTAGAATTCTTAGAACCTTTAGAGATAGAAGATATAAACATTAACGAGATTAATTTTATAAAAAAAATAGAAACTGATCAGGACATTGAAGAATGTCATGATAATCTTTTAAAAGATAATTTAAAAAATATTGACTTAAATCATTGTAATTTAGAGGAAAAATACGCAATTGAAAATGTATACTTTGAATATCGCGATATATTTTATTGTGAAGATATTCCTCTGTCATTTACTAATCAAATTAAACATAGAAAAAAATTAACCGATTATTGACCCATATTTACTAAAACGTACAGATATCCTGAAGTTTACAAAGAAGAAGTCAAAAGTCAAATTAAAAAAATGTTAGACCAAGGTATCATTCAACCCTCAAATTCTCCATTTTCTTCCCCCATTTGGATTGTTCCTAAACGTCCTAATAAATCAGGAAAAAGAAATGTCCGCTTAGTTATTGACTATAGAAAACTTAACGAAAAAACTATACCCGACAGATACCTCTTACCAAACATAACAGAAATTTTAGACAAATTATGCAAAAGCCAATATTTCACAACACTTGACCTAGCAAGCGGATTCCACCAAATCCAAATGCATGAAGACGACATATCTAAAACAGTTTTTTCGACACAAAATGGACACTACAAATTTAAAAGAATGCCCTTTGGACTTCGTAATTCACCCTTAACTTTTCAGAGAGTGATGGACAATATATTAAGAGGATTACACAACGAAACTTGCTTAGTTTATTTAGACGACAGTAATTTTTTCGACATCTATCAAGAAGACAGAAAGATTAAAATCTGTTTTTGACCGTTTAAGGCAATCTAATTTCTAAGTTCAATTAGACAAATGCGAGTTTCTTCACAAGTCGCATACCTAGGTCACATTATTACACCCGAAGGCGTTAAGCCTAACCCAGACAAAATTAATGCTATAAAAAATTACCCAATTCCGAATATGCAAAAGGAAATTAAAAGTTTTAATAGGTAATTACCGGAAATATATTAAAGATTTTGCTAAAATTACAAAACCGCTAACATTATGCCTAAAGAAAAATTCTAAAGTAAAACATGATCAAAATTTTATTTCGTCATTTAATACCTGTATACGTTTGTTAATTAATTCTTCTATACTCCAATATCCAGATTTTTCGAAGCCTTTTGTACTTACCACAGATGCATCTAGTGTAGCTTTAGGTGAGGTACTTTCACAAGGTCCTGTGGGTTCCGATAAACCAATCGCTTATGCGTAAAGGACTCTAAACGAATCCAAACAAAAATATAGTACGATAGAAAGAGAATTGCTTGCCATAGTTTGGGCTTGCAAAACTTTTCGTCCTTATTTATGGGGTGTGCGTTTCACCATATATTGTGACCACAGACCATTAATTTGGCTATTTAATCTTAAGGAACCAAACTCAAAATTAATGCGTTGGAGACTATGTTTAGAAGAATTCGATTATGACATTGTATATAAAAAAGGAACCTTAAATACAAATTGCGGTTCTGTGGTATGAAATCAACAAAAAAGTATTACCACAATGCAAAAAAAAATAAAAAATGTCTGAGTATGATCACTGTTTTAAGGATTCGGTGAACATATTATTATTTCTTGATGAAAAAACTGAAACTAAAATTAAACACTCAGATAAACCAAAAAAAAAATATTTTTCAATACAAATTGTAAAGGAAAAATTTCTCTAGAGAATTCTTAAAAGAAAATTCTAATCCAATAAAAAATAAAAGCAGAATCCTTAAAACAGTGATCATACTCTAAAAAATTTTTTTTTTCTGGTTGTGGTAATACTTTTTTGTTGATTTCATACTACAGAACTGTAGTTTAAGTTACTATATAGCAACAAAAAAAATATCACGTTAATACCTTAAATATTAAGAACTTGGTGATAAAATATATAAAACCTACGAATTTTATCTTTTTACCGAAGCACTAGCTCTTAAAATATTTTTAATTTGTATTAATATTTCAAACATTTTCCTTGGCTAGAGGTTCGGTTTGCTCTTGATGAATAGAAAAATAAGTTTAGTATTATTTAAAACAAATTTCCTACAAATATCTATATTTTTAGCTCGTTCAAAATGGAACAGAAAAAATTATTAGGCAAAAAGGGCCAAATTCTTCAAAGTCAAACGAAAGAAATAATTTCACGCCTCATAAATTTTATGAAAAACGAGGCTGAACACGGTATTCAAATACCATTACACAAATACAGAGAGAGTATTTTAGCTGCTACAGGGATTTCTAGAAGCAGTTGTTCTAGAATTAAGAAAATGGCTGGTGAAGTAGAAAGTGGATTAGTACTTCATTTTCAAAAAGAGGATATACAAAACGAAATACAGTTGTTGAATCTATAAGGCCTGAAGAGTTGGAAAAACTCAGAGGTATAATACATGATTTTCATATTATTGAGAAAAGACTACCAACTCTAAATTGCAAGTTACTATTTTGATTATAATGGCAACGTATTTAATATAAATATTATTTTAGGTATATTACAAAAAATGAGGGATTCTTGTTTTGAATTTTGGGGCAGCATCTCATCACTTAGGAAAATATTATTAAACATGGGTTTTAAGTAAGTATAAATAACGTTATCTAAAAAAATCAAAATAAAATGATACCAAAATAATTAATTTCTCATAGTCAATTTTTGTACGTATAAAATTACAATGTTTATTTTTTTCAGGTGGAAAAAAAATGAAGACAACAGATCTGTTCTGTTGGAATCCTACGACATTAGGAATAAGAGGACAAATTATTTAAAATCCTTAATACATTATCGGCAAGAGGGCAGAACTATTTATTATTGTGATGAGACCTATTTACATGGTAGTCATACACATTCGAAAGGATGGACCGATGGCAAAGGCAAATTCAAAAGTTTAATGAGCAAGAGGAAAAGGCTCATAATGTTGCATGCAGGGAGTAAGGATGGTTTTGTAGAAAATGGACTGTTGCTATTTACTTCAGGTAATAATCTATTTTTTTAAAGAAAATTATTTATTATTTGCATCTTTACTTACTTCAAAAAAATTTATGATGCTTAACAATCGAAAGTTATGATCAGCTTAAATTTAATTTAAACTGTTAAAGTGTCTAATTAACAAGTAATTTAAGTACTTAATGTAGTGGTTTATTTTATTATCTTCAGTTTAGTTAAAAGATCTTGACCTGTACTTAATCCTTTATTGTTATACAAGGGAAAGTTTTTAGTAATAACTTTTTCTTAGGATTATTATAAATAAGTCTTATCATCTTGAAGAAATATTTCTTCTTAAAACAGATTATTTTTTAAGTGATTTAAAATTCCTAATAATTTTTGCTTAACCAAGCAATTATTTCATTTAAAAGAGTTTTTTTGTAAGTTTAAGTGTCATACAAAAATAATTATGAAAAATATACTTGCATTATAGATAAATTCTTTTTTACTTTTTTTCAGGGAAAAAGACAGGATATTATCATGATGAAATGAACTGGAATAATTTTTCCCAATGGGTTAGAAGACAGTTACTACCAAACCTTCCTCCAAGGTCTGTACTTGTAATCGATAATGCAAGTTATCATAATATAAAATCTGAAAAATCGATTACAACGCAGTCCAAAAAAGCAGATTTAATTAACTGGCTCGTTAAAAACAATAAACCATATGATGCTAAAATGACCAAACCAGAACTGTACACATTAATAAAAGTTCACAGACCTGCTCCGAAATTTCTTTTAAACATGGACACAAAGTTCTACGATTACCTCCATATCATCCCGAATTAAATCCCATAGAAAAAATATGGGCCACAGTAAAAAATTGGGTGGGTCAACATAACACAACATTTAAATTGGATATTGTTGAAAAGTTGGCAAGAGAAAAATTCCGAAGCATAACGCCGGAGGAATGGGCAAACGTGGTGAACCATTCCGCGAAATATGAGGATACATATATTCAAAGAAAACACCTTATGGATGAATTTACAGATTTCTTCATATTTAGTGAAAACACGGGGTCATCCGATGAGTGGGAATCCGATATTTCCGACTTGCAAGATGATGAAGATGATGAAAATGTTTAAACACCTTATGGATGAATTTACAGATTTCTTCATATTTAGTGAAAACACGGGGTCATCCGATGAGTGGGAATCCGATATTTCCGACTTGCAAGATGATGAAGATGATGAAAATGTTTAAAATTATACAAATTAAATTAAAATATATTATTTATTTAAACTTTTAGTTGTTTTATTCATTTAAAGTTCATCAGCAATTTAACTAACGAATAGTTAAAATTTACCATTAACTTATTATTATGTTCGATTTAAAATATTTTATTAATGTACACAGAGTACACACGCCACTGCTAAGATATCAGCTCCACAAAGTTATGACGTACTGCGCGAACTGTGGCATAGCTATGACGAAATGTGCTCTTCACAAGAAAATCAAGCTCTAACAATACAGACCCAGTGTAATTTAGAAAAATACCAGGCAGAATAGTCATATTTTGAGATTCCCACCTATGAATAAAATATTGACCATTCCTGATGAAACACCGTGTATAATCGAAGAATTACTACAGACTCATATATTTTATTTATTTAATTAAAATTCTAATTATTACATTAAATAATTGTTTTATATAAAAAATACTGTTTTTCTTTGATTTAGATCCTAATTACAATAAAAAAATAATTTTCTTCTTTAGGTACGAGTTAGATCGTTTTAGGAATTGGCTTTATCACATATTTTAGAGAAAATTGAAGTACTATCCTTTAACAATACTTCAGGTTCATCGAATTCGACTATTTCCCCTTTATCCATCACAATCACCATATCACAGCTTAATATAAAATTCATTCTATGCGCTACTGTTAAAATCGTGCAATCCTGGAAAAGCTCTTTTACCAACGAGTGAATCAACTCGTCATTTTCCGTGTCCATGTTAGCGGTAATTTCGTCCAGGACGACAATTTTGCAGTCCCCGAGTGCCGCTCTGGCCATACACAAAAGTTGCTTCTGGCCTGCACTGAAGTTAGTAATATCGCTATCCAAAGTTTTTACGCTGCTGTCTATCATCAGCTTCCTCAGCAAGGACCAAATTTTTTCATCCGGATGCTTGCGATAAGGATCGATATTTTCACGGATACTGCCAGTGAACAGGACGGGATCTTGTGGTATTACGGCTATGTTGTTTCTGAAACGAAAAAAAAAAGCAAGGATTTAGAGATCGAGTTGATTTAACATGGTTGTTTTAATTAAAAAAGTTAGTTTGTCGGTAATTAAATGATCGTCGTAACGAACGGGTTAAAAAGTTTTTATTCTTCAACAAAACTTTTTGTAAAACTCGGTTTTGAATGATGCGATGCAATTTATTTAAATCTGGAGTCAGAACATAAAATATTAATGAGGATGAACTATCAGAAAACTCTGGATTTGTCCTACAATTAGCCGAAACCTTGAACAATTGATGGTTAAGGGGGTTCTTGAATTATAATATATTAAAAATGGTATATTTTTTCAATTATTTTAATTAAAACGAAATCGTTTATACATATTTTTCTTAATATTAAAAGGTTTTTAAATTTTAGTAACAAGTTAATAAAATGGCAAAAAGTATGTAGAATGTTCTTACAGAAATATAGATTATGGGCCAATGGTAACGACTCGGTCTGTGGAGCCAAAACTGCTTTATTTTTCAAAAATCTTTTAGTGTTTTTTAAATGGTACACCCTATATTTTCTATTTGAATTGCCCTCGCTTTTTTCATTATTACAATACCAAACGATATGAAATAGTTTTACACGCTATAACAAGTTTTATATGAAAATCTTATTGATTTCAATAGCTGGCCTATATACTGCAAAAAACTATTATTGAAAACCAATTTTTTTACGTAAAAGGTATAAGTCAACATTTTATGCTGGTGCACTACATTTTCAATTCGAAACAAATCCATACAGTGAGTCATGACTCGATTACAACATTTTCTCTTTTATTTTATATCATCATTTAAAAGTACCTTAAATAACTGAGTTAAGCATTTCCTATTCCTAAAAATATTAATTTTGGTTGATTTTTAAATTTAAATAAAAAAAGATTATTAACAAATTTTTTAAATTTTAACTGACCTCTGGTTAACAGAAAATAAACTGTTTATTAATTATTATTAATTGGAATTTACCAAGCTGTTATTTATTATGGACTAAATAAGTTTTTGATAACTTCTAATAGGATTTTAACATTAATTTAAAAATAAATACCAATAGAAACCAATCATAGACTCACTTCAATATAATACCTACTTCCTTCTAAGTTTATTATATTTTTAAGTTGACTTTGAAGCCCCAATACTGACAGTTCGTTATTACTGATACTAATACATCTGCTAATATCACCAGATTGCATGAAACTGACTCTAACAGGCCGCATAAAACTGTCCGTAGGATTCCTCATAATTTTTATACCAGGACTTAAGGAGTTCCATTTGCTTTTAATTATTTTTAATAATTATTTTAATTAATTATTTTTATTTATTTTTATTTATTTTTATTTATTTTTATTTATTTTTATTTATTTTTATTTATTTTTATTTATTTTTATTTATTTTTATTTATTTTTATTTATTTTTATTTATTTTTATTTATTTTTATTTATTTTTATTTATTTTTATTTATTTTTATTTATTTTTATTTATTTTTATTTATTTTTATTTATTTTTATTTATTTTTATTTATTTTTATTTATTTTTATTTATTTTTATTTATTTTTATTTATTTTTATTTATTTTTATTTATTTTTATTTATTTTTATTTATTTTTATTTATTTTTATTTATTTTTATTTATTTTTATTTATTTTTATTTATTTTTATTTATTTTTATTTATTTTTATTTATTTTTATTTATTTTTATTTATTTTTATTTATTTTTATTTATTTTTATTTATTTTTATTTAATTTCATTTATTTATTTTTATTTATTTTTATTTATTTTTATTTATTTTTATTTATTTTTATTTATTTTTATTTATTTTTATTTATTTTTATTTATTTTTATTTATTTTTATTTATTTTTATTTATTTTTATTTATTTTTATTTATTTTAATTTTTATTTTTTTTTGTCATCGGCTTCAACTGCTCAGGTTATTTCGCCTCGTGTTCTGTGTAGGCTTTGTTACTGTTTCCCAGCGCCACTTTAGAAACAGCACTGTTAATTAGAACCCAACAGTGAATGGTCGAGTGGGGAATCCTACCAATTTATTTTTATTTAATTTTATTTATTTTTATTTATTTTTACACAAATTTATATTGGAGTATACAAACTTTTACCCCTTTGTTTCCTCCTTTAAATTAAAAAAATTTAATAACTCTGAAATACATCATTATTTATTTGTGATAAGTAGCTACAATTCCAAGTTTCAAGTTCCAATTCTTAAAAAAAATCGATATTTTCCTACAAATTTTCATCTTCCGGTTCCTGTCTTAAAATGTCAAAATCCAAAAACCCTGAAATTCATCACTGTTTATGATGTGTAGATACAGTTCCAATTTTTAAGTTCCTTCCTTTAAAAAAATCGATACTCACCTACAAACTTTGGCCCCCGTTTCCCCCTTAAAATTTAAAGATCAAAATACATCATTATTTTTTTATGATGAGTAGGTACAATTCCAATTGTCAAGTTCCTACCTTTAAAAAACCGATATTCCCATACAAACTTGCACCCCCCACTTTTCATCTTAAAAGTGAGGTGGAGAAAAATAAAATGATTTTTTTTCTTGTATTTTTTATTTTATAAATTAGTAAAAGTCATAAATTATTTTTAAATTAATTATTTTATCTTAATAACGTAAAATAATTTTTAATATTTGTAGATTTTCGCTAGTGGGTTGTAGAAAAAATATACTATACAACTTGAGTGGATTGTCCAAAACCACTCTTGTTGCACAAACTACATATGATTTCGGTGACGCTAATACTCGAGCTTGAAAGTAATACTCGAGCTGCAAAAAACCAATATGAATTAAGGTGTTACTGGGTCCAAGATCACCAAATTTTAAACATTGGAATTGTTTATGTTCTTAGAGTACTAAGAGTCTACCGCTAACGTTGAATTTAAGGTACGCAGTGGAGAGCTCATTTCGTTGAAAGTTTCGAAGTGAACAATTTGACAAATATAATTGACAGGACGATGGATATGCCTATTGTTTAGCTGTGAATTCTAGACGTTTGAGAAATAGCAAAAAGTGTAAACGATATCGAAAAGGTAAACGTTAACGCAAGGTCGAGATTAGTTATTCTAGTGAGTTAAGTACCAGAACGCAATTATAAAGAAAAATTCTTAAAAATTCTGTTTACCCAGTTTTTGAAATGTAAAGAATGTCAATCCAAACAAAGAAAATTAAATAAGTTAAAAACACGAATTGCATTTGTCAAAGATTCTAAAGCTCAAGGGTTTGAATTTCAAAAAATGATAGATACATTCTTAAAATTACCTCACACTTATGTTTATTTGAATTTCATTCATCATTTATCAATTTAGGAATCGAGAGTTAACCATTACTAGTAGCGGTGTTTACATTAAATCTACACGAGGTTTAGTAGAAATTGATGTGTCCCTAACAACACAATAATGAGGAAGATAAAATATTCTGCCTGACCCTTCTAAAACCTCACTTACGACGTCAACCAATGATATGTCCTACCTCAATATACTAAGTATATTCCGTTTTCAAAATATGTTCATTTTTCGACAATTTTCTTTCGATAATAAAAATCTTTTTAATGCTATGTCATAAGACTACTAAATTTGGAACTCGTTCCCTAAATGAAAGTGTCACTATAACTCGTGCTTTTCTCTATCCTTTATAACATTTTCCGCAAATGAATTTTCACAATCCTGTTCCCCGTTGGTATAGTAATTATACTTCGCTTTTAATGAAACGTTATTTTAAATTATATAATAAAAAACTATTTTCATTTTGTAAAATTATCTACTAATCTTTGGCATTTTATATTTGGTTTCTGTTTGTCGCTTTTTAAAACAAGAAGTGCAAACGTTGAGTGGATTACATTTTTTTGAGTTTATTTGGTAGTTAAATTCCTAATGAATGAACTAATTTAGTATATTCTTCAACGAGTATAGAAACGAATAAATAATAGCTATATTTCCATATTCTATGCGAGTTAAAGACTATACTTTCTCCACGGCTATTATAGACTGTTATACAAGGTGATCTCAAAATCTAAAAATTTTATATAGTGGAGGCGAGAGTCGGGATTTTAACAAAGAATAACAAATAAAAATCAAGTAACTAAGTAAGCGTAGTGTTTTAAAGAGATTTTTATTGTTAAATTAGTTACCTACATTGAAAACAGAGGCAGGTACTTAAAAAACTCTGAAAATTAAAGTTAAGCAACGATATTTCTTGTATTTATGAACAATTTATGTGAACTTAAAAATCTAAAAGTGGACAACATATACAATTTTATCGCTTGTATTAAACTTTTATATGAACCAATATTTATTGTTATTTCGTAAAATTTAGCGGTGTTGGTTGCAATCAAGGTTTACATTTTGATCCACGGATAATGCAGAAGATGATGCTGGTAAGAGGTTGCTTTAGCTTATTGGCTGAATGGAGTCTACAATTTTATTAGCTGTATTCATTTTAATTCTAAATGAATTATCTATGTATCCTTCTGCCACAGCGGTGCTTTTCCAACCCCCATTCTTTTTAAATCTGTAACATCTCCACCAGCATCAATCAGTAAAGTGACAGACGATCTTCGGAAACTATGTACAATACGCCTATGGCCGGTATGGCATAGCGGTTAAATTTTGAGCTCCCGAAATAAATACAGTTAAAGCAAGATTTACATACATAAAATAATATATAAAATACATAAAATAATACATAAAATACATAAAATAATAAAAACGTGATACAGTTCTTACAGTGTTGTTTTGCAATACGTTAGAGCTATTTTAACTTCTAGTAATTTGCCAAAAAATTGTACAATTGGACTTACCGCCTTCTATAGACTTCCGGCAAACGACTTAAATATATATTTTGATAATTTAGAAACATACCTAAATTCTATAGAATATCAAAATCTAGAAATATATGTAGGTGGAACTAACGAAACGAACAAATATTTAAATATAATGAATTCCAAAGGTTTTAAATCATATATA